TGTTTTTTTCCACCCACCTTACAGTCCAGATCTTGTGCCTAGTGAACTCACCCTGTTCAGACCACTGATGAAGCACTCTGAAAGAGAATATTTCTCACATTATGAAGGTGATTTGTGCCTACAAAATGTTGGTAACCACCTGCGAAACTGGATGTCATCACAGCCAAAATAAACCGTAATCATCTGGTTTCAACTGTTTGGTGTACAGTTATTTATGTTACAGAGGCTATCATATGATAGCATAAGAATTTGTATGTTGTCACAGTAACATTTTCCTTAAGAACCTTTTGTGGGAGGTAGGAGTTGAAGGAGACTGAATTTTGTTGGCCCAGGATGGGGTGCGGTGGAGGGCTTTGGTTAATTTGGGTTCCGTAAGCCATCTATTTAGTTAGTTAGCGTCTGTCCGATACAAATAGTTCTGAGGTGAGCCCTTCGAGGCAAGATTGTGCACAAGAATATAACTGATAGTGGCATGTGTAAACTAGCATTTATATTCATCGTTTATATGCAGTATGAAATCTCACAGCATCTAAATGAAAAGAGGGGGGGGGGGTGAGCTCAGAGGCAGAATACCAGCTCATCTGCTGTTATTCTTCTTTGTCATTTTCAATAGATGCTATCCTTTCCTTTTCTTCTTCTAAGAAACTGCACCAAGTGACACATATCAAAATATACTCTGATGATGTGTGAATTGTATAGATTTATCTCATTTATGAAATCCATGCAGAGTTACTGCAACTGGTTTCAGCATTTCTATGCATTTGATTTCCCTATTAATCTTACATCCAAAACTTTTCTGTAAGATGTTATAAAGGGATTGGGGAGACTTAACTAGGAAAACAGATGTTTATGTTGAGGAAAGGAAGGGAAAATACTTGGTGTGAAATTCAGTGTACACGATAGTTAACAAAATATAAAGGACATCATTTTGGAGAATCTTCTTTCTGGCCTGTAACAATCCATTGTCATTAAGTTAGACAGAATAAGGGAAGCTTACTTACTCACTCTGTGGCGCAGGAAATTCTTTGAAAAGTCCATTGTATATTCACCTTGTCAAAGAATAGAATAAGGGACCCTGAGGACGAGGATGAAGATGGTTCTCGAAGCGTTGGTGTATTCTTCATTAAGCCACCCTACACAGCTGGCAGCCCGAGAAGAATTTATTATGCTTAGTCACTGTGGAAGCTTCAGATCATATAGAAATATTACAAAATTTCACAGAAATACATTTTAACATACATTTATTGAGTGTTGCACTACATTCATAAATGTACAGCAGAGGAATTATATGATATAATCATCTCAGGTGACCAGCTGCATCAATACAGATCTGCTGTCCATTTCAGAGGCCTTCTCTACCTCCATCATCAGGGAATGATCATCATTCTGTGATGATGGAGGCAGACTATGGATCTATATTGACACTGCTGGTCGCCCGAGAAGAATTTATCACATTTAGTCACTGTGAAAGCTTCAAGTCATATAGAATTATGTGATGTTTTGTACAGTAGTGCATACACTTATAAGGTGTTAAAAGGAAACATATGGTAAATATTTAGAATTATTCAGTGGAGTTAGAGGAGAGTATGTTTGAGAGTCTTCTTCATGTGACTTTAATTGTCCCTTATTGTTCGTACTTTTGAGATTAGACGATGGACTGTTCAAAATTTTCGTGCTGTCATAGTATGTGCCTCTCTGAAAACACTGAAGTCTGACTGGTGGTCTGTGAAGCTGGCATTTATTGATTGTATTAACGATATTCTTGCTTAAATTACATTAATTTAAGTGTGTTGATGTTACAAGAATGAAATGTCAACCTACCTGCATTTAAGTTGGGAATCATCTTCCAATTTGAATGGCTGTCAGAATCTATGAGTTTGGTATTTATCAACACTTCTACGAGATATACTTCCCATTGTGAACAGTATTGAATGCATATTATGTGTAAATTATGTGTTACAGATTATTATATTTGTTTTATCTGCGTTTAGATCCAGCTTATTAGCAGTACACCATTTACATATGAGGGAAAACTAAATTTGTTCTTTTTCACTGAAATTATCATCTATTGAGCTTTTTCTCCACTCCTTCATATATCTTCATGGCATGATGCTTAATCATGAAGGCAGTGTTACCTTCATCTTCTACAGCCCAAACTATGAAATACCTGTGTCACCCCTGAACCTTTCTCCATAGCAAAATACTACTTGTCAGAAACAATGAATTCATGTATAAAGTATAAAGCAACACCCACTGGCCACTTGGATACATTCGTTTTGAAAGTAGCTCCCCTATTAATTTTAAAAGGTACTGACGATGGTGCGTTTTCAGAAAAATAATTCATTTCGGAAGCTGGATCTGCTTCCGTCCTCAAGTTGAAAAGAGTGAGAGGGATATCTAATCATTTTGGTCCAATTGAAAGAGCTAACCTCAGTTACTGGATCCAGCTTCTGAATTGTAGTGTTTTTTGAAAAACAGGATGATGGGCAAAGTCCGAGAATTTCGTAATCCTGTTAGCTCCGCCGCTGTTTTGCCAGCAGTTTAAGCCATTTGCTTCTTGGAAGAAATGCGGATATCTAGCAGGAACTAGTTGATAATTATACAATATAATGATTAATTTTTTTCTATGCATAATTTTCACTACTATAAATTCTGTGTTACATTATGCAGGTGTAACATAGGTATGCTGCATTACATCAATCGTAAGTGTTGCCATGTGAACGTATAACATTGTGCCAGATCAAATTCTGGGAATGCTTGCTACCAAGTAGACCAGGATGTTTTCTCTGTGAATTTGCTATCTAAAAATGTAAATATTAAAATATACAAAGTATAATTTTACTTGTTCTTCCTGTGGGCATGAATCTTGATCCCTCACGTTAACAGAAGAGCACAGTTTGAATGTATGAAAACGGTGCAGAGGAGAATATCGGGCCCGCTTAACAAGGAGCTCCAGGGAATGCTATTAGGGTGATAAATAAAAGAGAATTATGTAGGTGGGGCATGGCAAAACGTGAAATGGACACAAAATTTTTGTTGGATAAACTGAAGGGCAAAGACTAGTTGGAAAATCTAGGCATAAATGGAAGAACAGTAAGAAATGGCGTGGGAGGTTGTGGACAATAATCATGTGCAGATTGTTATGAACATGGTAGTGAAACATCGTGTTCTGTGAAAGGCGCAGAATTTATTGACAGTCGGAGCGACTGTTACTTTCTCAAGGAGGACTTTGCTGCATTGAGTTAGTTCATTGAGTTGGTTGATTGGCATTTTTGTCACTCACTCTCACAGTTGGTTGCTGTGTATTAAATGACATCTCCAGCTTCATGGCTGTTATTTATTTGTTTTATAATCTACGTAAGTTTGGCCCCCAACAAGAGATTAATATTTGTTTTAATCTATTACACTTCCAACTTTTAGCTTCATACCTTAGAGGATTACAGAGTTAATTTTGGCATTTTTGATGATAAGAAATTAGAAAGTATGAACGTGGAGTGGCACTATTTTCGTACCAAGATTCTTGAATATGAATCAGTTAGTTTGAAAGTTGGTAGGTGGAGTGACTGGCATACAGATGGACATTTAGGCATGTTGATTCCATAACCTGTCTTTCTTGTTAAAGTACAAAAGGTCTGTTCAAGTAAGTTGAATGCTTTTTCTGCAGGGATGCATGCACAATGAGGGTTAATCATTATGGGGACTAGTACATTTTTTATTATAATAATATGATGAAGGTCCTCTGATGGTACTTTCAGTCATGTTAAATTGTACCCTTACAAAGTCCCATGATGCGCTCTTTATCGGATATTTGCCTTCCTATTTTAGTGTCAATAAGGAAATTCTTGAAGTGTAAAATACTTCGACAGTTCTTATCCTAATCCATTTATATTTTGCTTGAAAGCTGCTTATTCAATATTGCTTGCTTGGTTGATCTATCCTCATGTTACACCTCTGCTGCTACAGCTGCTTGTTGGCACTGGACTGGATATGGTTGATGATTATTGCTCGTCACATCTTTACATTTGTTTCTTGGCTCGGTGCATTTCTGGTTGGACGGTTTCTCAAACAGCCACCTTGTTTTTGATGGACTGCACTAATGTTATGGCTGAAGCACGGTGGAGGCCAGGTGGAGAAAAAGGTGGAACACTTGGCCGTGGTGGAAGAAGAATGGGCATTGTTCAGTGACAGATTCTCAAAATATTTTAAGCCTTTCATTGCTGCAATCATTGCCATTAAGAGCAATAAATTTATCATTTATCAAATTACTTCTAAGGAAATGTTTCAGGAATAAAAGAATGCATATACATTCAGTCCATAAAAATTGCCCCTTTCTGGAAATTAATGACTGATTTGTTGCAGATAAATTCCTATAATGTGCCTCTGTATGGGCATTATCTGTTTATTTTCTTAGAATTACTCTTTTACGTGATTATTCAAGCTCTGGAAGTGTATGAATTAAACTAAGTTAATAAACTTTGAAAATGTATAAGAGCTGATTTTAATTCTCAAAATTCTCATTTAATGTTCATGTTGTTTGTTTGAATATAATTTTGATCAAAATACAGAGTATGGGAACTGCATATACTCAGTAGAAGTACTTCAAGTTCATAGATTCTTAAGTGGCACAATCATACATGATTTACTTCTGTCAGTATCATGTGGTGATATTCTCTGTTCAGATTCTGTACGCAGATGAGTAAATTCAGTATTCAGTATTAATTTAAATCTTGTATGTTTCCACACATTGGAAACTTCGGTGTTACTTAACATTTCATTGCAGATGGAAGGCTTTAAGTATTTTAAGATGAATTTGACTCAGTTTTCATTTTTATTTGTTGTCTTGAAGTCTTTAGAGAACTAATATTAGGATAATAAGACAGCAATTAAAAATAGTTGACTGATAGATAATCTCTTGCCCTAAAATTCTTCACTCGCTCGCTCAGTTTGTAATATGAGCATTAGCGAGTCTTGACTATGGACAACGGTTGTTGCACATACAGAAAGTGTGGCAGAGGAAGGGTCTGGGGGCCTTTCCGAGGGCGACCTTGTCTGGGGGGCGGCTCGGGGATTTCCTGCGTGGCCTGGCAAACTGGTGGGACCTGTCACCGATGGGGACAAAGTTTGGGTACGCTGGTTTGGAGGTGACCGAGCCCTCACCCAGGTCTCACTGCAGTCCCTGAAGACATTGTCGGAAGGGCTCGAGGCACACCATCGAGCAAGGAAGAAGTTCAGGAAGTGAGTCAGCTTTGCCTTACACTTCACTGGCAATATCACACTATACAACAGATCAGAAACTAGACTTCCAACACAAACATATTAATATTTTTCATAATTTTTACAAGTTACATCTCCTCCATTTACATCAGTCCAGTGGACCAGTGGACAACCTGGAATTTTTTTTATTTTTTTTTAGTATTGTGAATGTTTCAGAGCAGAAGCGTTTGTTTTTGGCTCATCCAAGTTACCAGGGATGTGGAAAAGACAATGTGAGGATGTTGAAATTTGGGACTGTTATAAGCAGAATATAATTTCTTGCTCTGAATGAATTGCATTTTTGTGCTGCAGATATGTCATTACTTCAGGACAGCAGTTCACTCTTCATTGCAATGATATGTCGATAAATACACTGCAGTGTCATAACACGTTTGAATAAAATTTTAAGACATCTCTACTATATATATATCCCACCATTTTCAGACTTTCAAAATGACAGGTTAAACGGAATCCAATGTGATTCATAGGCATGCTCGCTTGACCAGAATTGTCTCTCATCTACATAAATTTAAAATGTTTTTGCCTGTTGGAGGCTTGGAACTATGAAGTCAAGTTGGTTCTCAGTTTGCTGTGAACCCATCTGTTGCTTTGTTTTTCACTCATTCAGATGGTGTCTATTAAAATACATGTTAATAGTAATAACTGTTATCAATATTGATTTATTTGAAATTTCAAGCCTCCTTGTGCCAGTTTACCCAACTTTTGGGCATAATTCTGAGTAATGCAAAGGAATTTCACCAAGAAAGATAAACGTCTGTATGGAAGAAAGGCTTTTCAATCACTATGAAAACTGGCATATTTGCATTATTAATGTGTCTTGTAATATAAATTTGACGTACAATAATTTTTAAATGTGCCAGTACGTAGAACTGACCGTAAGTGATTTATGTTGTCAGAAACACATCCAACTCAGAGTGAACTGTGCAGCATAATTCTGCTGATGAAGAGATGATAACAACAACTTACAAAGAGCAGGACTTAGATAAAATTAGAACGATTGACACCAGATGTGAGGGGTGGGTTCTCAAGGTGTTGTTCTGCTAACAGAGTCAACACTGCTGATGATTCATTACAGAATGTTCTGATGATGTAGAGGAGGATTAGTATATTTCATATCTGTAATTAATTTACCTTTACCACTTACATATAGGAGCTGGGATAGCTCAGTCAGTGTAGTGACTAGCTACGGGCTGGACGGCTGGGGTTCGATCCCTGACGGCAGAGGATTTTTCCTCTAGCCTCTGCGTCCAGACTGTCTATGGGGCCCACCCAGCCTCCTGTCCGATGGGTACCGGGGGTAAAGTGCGGCCGGTGCATGATGCTGACACCCCCCCCCACCAGCGCCTCCATGGCGTATAGTGGGACGGCAGACAGTACAGTAAAATCTCTGTATAGGCTACTGTTGTAGTCATAAACTGTATTTACCGTTCTGATTTAAATGCTTCTAGGAATAATTCTCATCTGTTGTCATAAATACCTTTACAAGAAAATCAGGGAGTACTTCATGTTACTGCTTTCACCAGTATTAAGTATGTATTTTATGGGATGAGATCTCATGCTTGCATTTGTTCAAGAGATTTAGGTGTGGGGGAGAATCATTGTCAGGACCTACCTGCTGGGCTTCGGAACTTCGGATGTTTGAAATTGGAGTTAATAGTGTTTCTGTTTGATTTTGTAAGCAATAGAAGAATCTCATTCTTACGTGGGTTTATGTGTGTGAAAATTCAACATTGCAGGAAGTTTGTCTCCTAAAATCTTAGTCATCATTTATTTCATAAAAACATTCCTTTCAGGAATGTGTCAGGCTGTTTTGGCCATGTCCTGCTACAGTCAAGTTGTGTGGTTGCCAGACATTAAAAATATTTCAGACATATTTGATAATTTAGTAAGTAAGTAGAACAACGAGAAACCACAAGGTCACTGTGAACGACGTTAAGATTACAAGCATTACAGTTATGAAACTTAAAGTTCTATCTGAATGTTATCAAATATTGGAAGTAAAGGACATTTGTAATCTTGTCTTGAAGCTTTTTAAACATGGCTGTCTAGATGCTACATTAAAATTCTTGTACTTTAACTCATGTACCAAATTTTTTTTACAATTACCTTAAACATTAAATAAAAGGCAAGAGCCTTGATTATTTGTTTCAGGCTAATCACAGATATCTGGAGCCTGCTCAACATATTTTTTATGCAGTTCAGACTAAAGCATTTTAAGCGTATGTGTACTGATTTTTTTAATTGACACCAATTGTAAATTTTTGTATTTATGTTATATTGTTCTTTGTAGTGGCATTTTATTTTAAATCAGTTTGTGAAGTCGGGTTCTGTTAATTTATGTAATGACAATTTGGATTTTCAGGAGCCGTAAATTAAACAGCCAGCTGGAGAACGCAATTCAAGAAGCTATGCTTGAACTGGATCGCATGACAGAAGAACAGCAGTCCGTATCAGCAGCTGTCGGTAATGAACCAACTGGACGACTGAGGCGGAGCACACATCGGTGATCTCCTTCACTTTTTTCTCTTACATCTTCCGTACCATCCTCATTCCAGACGGTCCATATCACATATAGATTATTGGTCCTCTCTCGCTGTGGTCCGCGTAATGATTTTGAATGTTCGGTCGTATACGTACCGTGCAGGTGTACAAATGTCCAAACCATGTTCAGTATATGATTTCACTGGAGGTAAGGCAAGCTTGTGATACTGTGGCATTAAAAATATTCTTTAAAAATACAGCTTTGAAGGAATTTTGACTTTGTCATCAGTAAATGAAGTAAGACTATAAGAAGGTGATTAGTTTTTCATTGTACTATTAGAACGGAACTTTACAATGCTTGCTACAAATTGTTTTAACTGTGAAGCTGTTAGTACTTCCTGAATGTCACTTTCAGAAATTTTGAATCTTGAAGTTGTTTTGTGTTAGATGAAATGGGGGCAGAAGTGTACGTAGATAACTGATAGATTTGCAGCTGCTTGTTTTGTACACAGAGATTGATTCTAAGCTAGTTTTGTCTTTCTTCAATTTGTCATTCTAAAATAAATATATTTTTGCGGGTTGTATATTCAGTCAGGCCGAAGCTTTCAGTTTTTAATCAAACTTTACCACAGTTATAATTAACCTCCAACAGGAGTTGCTTGTAAAGCAACAACAATTAATTAGTAGGATTTGAGGTTTAGTACTATTTTCAGAAAGTGTTTTGCAGCGTTAATGACGCTGGAATCCGAAGCTGTTGCGAACAGCAGTTTGACTATAATAATGGCAGGTGCCGCTGAGCATAATTTAATGTAGATTTGTGCTGTACGACCTAACAACATTGAGTGACATTTTGGCGTCTTTGTGGTTATCATGTTGCTGGCATTGCAGTCATCACACTTTCGACTCTGACGCCTCTGTTTTAGCGTAGTTGTCGCGTGATGTGTCGCTCTCGGCAGAGGCCGTACATGCGGCCTCGTGCACGTGGCGTACCACGTGAACTCCATGAGAGTGCTAACTCAAGTCTGGATACAGAATTTGTGTGGTATTTGCTGTGCAAATTTATAACCGTGTTCTCCCCAGTGTCAACTTGCAGTATCTTCATATTTCATAGTTTTAATTGTGTTTATTTGGACAAATCATTGTTTTGTTTCTAATCAAGGGGCTAGTAATGTATACAGAATATAGAAGGCCTCAGATAGAGAGTTGCTTCTTTAATTACTTTACCGTGGTGTGCGCTTACTGTACATACTTCTTCTGTGTGGTGACTGCATCTTGTTCAACAGTGAGAACCTTAGCTTTATCACAGAAGTAAATGTCTTGCGTCCAGTCGTCCCTCACCTTTTTGAAGGTAAATATGGGGGTTCGTCCCTTACTACCCTTGCTTTCGGCAAATGCTTAATGGTTTGCAGATGACTGTGGCATGAATTGTACTCATTTAAGCTGGCATTCCAAGAGTGAACTTGAAGCTAGAAGCTTCCTTTATCAGTGGTATCTCAGGTACATTCTCTCTGCTTACAGGCACCAAGATAAATTGTCATTGCTGTGCTATCTGTTGGGTTTCTGTGGTGACCTTGAAACATTGCACTTCCCATTTCTTCTGTCTGTTTATTCATACGTATGATTGCACCTGGGTCTTTTTTTTTTTAAATTGACACTGTATCAACCTGTAAGCATCATGGCCTTTCACACAGTATGAATTAAAAAAAAATAGAAGTTTTAGATTAACGTGTTAGCAGAAAGATTAGAATTTATGATCGTGGGAGTCAATTACATAGAATTAAGATGGAAAGAGTCTTGTAGTTGGAAAACCATCGTATAGTGCGGAAAGTGAAAGCAGATATCGTTGAGTGATGCAGAAGACAAGTCGGTGAGTAATTTGCTGTTGAAATGACCACAACTGCAGGATGATTGGGGGTGGGGGAAAAATTGACAGTCTGTATGCCACAGATTTCTTACTGACAGGCCGTCTGTTCACTGCCACAATGTTGGCTTGTGGGCATTTGAATACCGGCTTGAAAGGTTAATCAATCAGGTTTTGAGGAAAGTGTGAAATGGACTGAATTGAATTGGGATGGGATTCAAAAGTTGATTTTTGTCATGGCGGTGATAAGCGTCTGTGTCTGCGTCATATTTAGGATTCACTGTCAGATCTTACTTTCTAAAATAAGGGCTTATAGGATTTGTAATAAGCATTACATGAAAATTCTACTCATTGATGAAAGACTTTGATGCAGGAATGTGTGAAAAAACTGTGTATGACTTTACATTATAATCTAATTTTTACGCACTTTCCTAACATCAGGTTTCTTTTGGCTGTACTTCCAGGTCCTACCACTTGGCACCATAGTTACAAGACACTTTTTCCTGGAAGGTTTCAAGAAGTGTAGAAGTACTAGTTATCATTTGTCATTGCGTTACATGCTTCGGAAAGAGAGTGTTTTTTTGTTTTTTTTTGTTTTGTAACTTGGAAACTGTCCTTGCCTTGCAGCAAGAAGTCAGTATCTGTTAAAAACCAGCACTCATCTTGTTGCAAACTGCACTTGTACCTCAACATGAAGAGAGGACCATCAGTAAAGTTTCTACTGTCAGTCACAAATTTTGTTTTAGAAAAATCAGTTTACAGTGAAACACGTCCGCAGTTTATATTATACTTGTGTTTTGTTTTGTTTTGTTCGCCTCAGACCTTCGACTTGTGTTTAACCATTCTTAGGCAAATGTGAGATCTCGTGTTCTGGAATGTTGTGCCGTGTCTGGTAGAAGTTTGCCGACGTTTCAGAGGCGCTCGGCTGCCTCCGTCATCAGGACTCATTGCCTCAGAGGCAAGAACTCTGGTAAACTTGTACCAAACAACATGGTGCTTCATCCAGAAGACAGTCGTCTTCATTGTTAGATTCTGTTTCTACCATATTCTACGACTACAACTCCAAAGACGTGGAGCACATTCGTTTTTTTACGTTTTCTTGTTTAAGCTGTTAACATTTGCTCCTTCTTGCCCTTACCTCTAAGTACTATGTTGATTGTCAGATTAGATGCCATTTGTGCAGTACAAATTTTGTTGGTGTTGAAATTTGAAGCATGAGTGTCCTATTGGAAGGATCAGTACGTGTCTAGGGATCTGAACATTGACGTAAGTGTCCCTGAGGATTTTTCGGACTTCCGTAACCTAACCTGTGAGCAAGGTTTATTTAGGAACGATGTATTTTGACTTGATTTAATGGCCTCTGGCCTCTGGTTGTTTCCCAAACCCCGAAGCTGAAGAACCAAGGTTGGTATAACTGAAATACTTTCTTCTCCGGCTGTGTTCTTTGTTGTCAGCCTGTACACCTCTCCTCGTTCAAAGATGGTTCTTTTTTCTCTCTCAGACAGAGATTATAATGCATTTACGTCCTTCCATACTTTGTAGTTATTAAATAGACATACTTTTGAATACCAAACACTTTTAATCGCAGTAGTTGTTGGGTTACATTTCATTCTTTGTTATACTCTCATAGTTGTTTTGGTCCAAAACATCACATTTTGTTCAATCCCTTTAAGCTTTGATTTTGAAAATACTAATACTTTTAATGAATGTTTAAAAAACGTTCTCATATATCAACTCATAACTTTTTGTTTGGTAACGTCTTGTGGTGTTTTGGTGTTTTATTGCGGAAAAGTAATCAGTGCGTACTAATTTGAAAATGTAACAAATGCAAAAAAAAATGTGATGGTGATAAAAGTTGGAATACTGCAGTGCAATCTTAATTGGAACCGGAAGTGATATGATAGAGGGCAGCATATTCTGGGTCGTAACAGTGAAAGGCAACTTTCAAGGAACGCAGTGATTACGAGTGAGGCAAGATTAATTAGTGCAGAAGTTTTAAAAATATGCACTTCACTAATTTTAGAAATTTTTTTAAGAACTTGTCACTAAACAAATACATTTTTGCAAATCATTATGTATGTATGTGTGTGTATTTAAAGTAATTATAATCAAACCAAATGCGACATTTTGGGCTAAAACATTGATCATGTTCTGATGAAGACTGACGTTTTTGTTGCCCCCACGGAATTTCTGATAGTTGCGGACGGCAATCGAATGTACTCCAGACCCTCTCCATTGTCTCATCAGTGCAACACATGGATAGAAACCTCTTCACGGAATAGTGCAAAAGGAACGCGATGTAATTTTATCTCTGCTAATTTCAATTTCAATTACAGGTAGTTACTGAATTGGTATAATGAACCGCTGCTACCTAACGGTTGGACTTTTCTGTGCTTAAACTGAGGTTGTTCGTGACCCGTGAGGCTGAGAGTATTATGTGACGTAGCGGTGTAAGACTTCATGCGTGACAGTAACTAGAATGGTCCTGTAAATTTGCCACTCGATATAAACTCTTCGTTTTCTGGAACTGTATCGAGGGCTGATACGTTTTGTGAGCGTATATTTTTGACACATTTTACTTGGATATTCATGCAAGTGAATGTAGCATTAATGTCACCTTTGTTCTGCAAAAATACTGTGGTCGTAGGATTGGTGTGAGTTTTGATAGTCATCTTCTGGTTTCTTGTGCCAGGCAATCTTTTGGTTGAAAACCGCTGTCATGGAGCAACAAGCTGCTTCCATCTTTGGGTGTGAGGTGAGGAGGGTCGGGGACTTCGTCATAAACTTCACTTCAACCTAGAAGACCACCATCTAAAATGTCTCCTTCGTGTATGTAACTTTTATTATTTTGCTGTCAAGCTCCTCTATTTAGTATTTCATGCTGTGGTAAGCTACAAATATATTTTAGCTGAGAATACATTTTCCTTTGAATGCGTATGATATGTAAATAAGAGCACGCCAACACATCGGTCTAAACCGTTGAATTTTCTGAAAATGTGTTCAAGTTTGAATTAAACTTCCAGATACTTTTGAATACCAAACACTTTTAATCGCAGTAGTTGTTGGGTTACATTTCATTCTTTGTTATACTCTCATAGTTGTTTTGGTCCAAAACATCACATTTTGTTCAATCCCTTTAAGCTTTGATTTTGAAAATACTGAATGTTTAAAAAACATTCTCATATATCAACTCGTAACTTTTTGTTTGGTAACGTCTTGTGGTGTTTTGGTGTTTTATTGCGGAAAAGTAATCAGTGCGTACTAATTTGAAAATGTAACAAATGCAAAAAAAAATGTGATGGTGATAAAAGTTGGAATACTGCAGTGCAATCTTAATTGGAACCGGAAGTGATATGATAGAGGGCAGCATATTCTGGGTCGTAACAGTGAAAGGCAACTTTCAAGGAACGCAGTGATTACGAGTGAGGCAAGATTAATTAGTGCAGAAGTTTTAAAAATATGCACTTCACTAATTTTAGAAATTTTTTTAAGAACTTGTCACTAAACAAATACATTTTTGCAAATCATTATGTATGTATGTGTGTGTATTTAAAGTAATTATAATCAAACCAAATGCGACATTTTGGGCTAAAACATTGATCATGTTCTGATGAAGACTGACGTTTTTGTTGCCCCCACGGAATTTCTGATAGTTGCGGACGGCAATCGAATGTACTCCAGACCCTCTCCATTGTCTCATCAGTGCAACACATGGATAGAAACCTCTTCACGGAATAGTGCAAAAGGAACGCGATGTAATTTTATCTCTGCTAATTTCAATTTCAATTACAGGTAGTTACTGAATTGGTATAATGAACCGCTGCTACCTAACGGTTGGACTTTTCTGTGCTTAAACTGAGGTTGTTCGTGACCCGTGAGGCTGAGAGTATTATGTGACGTAGCGGTGTAAGACTTCATGCGTGACAGTAACTAGAATGGTCCTGTAAATTTGCCACTCGATATAAACTCTTCGTTTTCTGGAACTGTATCGAGGGCTGATACGTTTTGTGAGCGTATATTTTTGACACATTTTACTTGGATATTCATGCAAGTGAATGTAGCATTAATGTCACCTTTGTTCTGCAAAAATACTGTGGTCGTAGGATTGGTGTGAGTTTTGATAGTCATCTTCTGGTTTCTTGTGCCAGGCAATCTTTTGGTTGAAAACCGCTGTCATGGAGCAACAAGCTGCTTCCATCTTTGGGTGTGAGGTGAGGAGGGTCGGGGACTTCGTCATAAACTTCACTTCAACCTAGAAGACCACCATCTAAAATGTCTCCTTCGTGTATGTAACTTTTATTATTTTGCTGTCAAGCTCCTCTATTTAGTATTTCATGCTGTGGTAAGCTACAAATATATTTTAGCTGAGAATACATTTTCCTTTGAATGCGTATGATATGTAAATAAGAGCACGCCAACACATCGGTCTAAACCGTTGAATTTTCTGAAAATGTGTTCAAGTTTGAATTAAACTTCCAGTAACACGACTGAAGTTTCTTTCCTAAAATAATTTTGTGTGGGAAAGTTGATAATCTATTTGCTGGCTACTTTTACAGTACTCGAGGCATCTGTAGCGTGGGGCTAGAAGAGTGGCTGCCTAGGGTCCTGTGCGCTGTCGTAGCAGAATCATCCTCTGCATGCCAAAAAATGCTTACAGTTAACTTCTTTATTTTTATTGCTGTAATCATTTGCAGCGCAGATACACAGGGCGCCCTGTACGTAGGACATGAGGAAAATGTGCAAACGCAAATTTCTGCTTAATACAGACACTGAAGTTCTGCAGGGCTAACAGGATTTTTGTTCAACATTTTTGAGTAAAGTTTTAAGTCTGAAAGTTCAGAATTTTATTCGTTTCCAACACGGCCGACCGCACTCGAAGGCTTCCGTAGATGATTGCATTACGAGAGCTTCGCATAATGCAGAACTTCAGAATTTTATTCCTTTCCAACACGGCCGACTGCACTCGAAGGCTTCCATAGATGATTACATTACGAGAGCTTCGCATAATGCAGAACGGAGAAACGGCTTCTCTGATAACACTCCGTCTGTCATAGAACTGGTTGTTCTCAGAATTCTTGACTTTGTATGAAAAAAACAAAACACTTTGCACGAATTCCAATGTCACATTTCCTGCATTAAGTCAGGCATTTTACTTGGTACGCTCCACATTACTTTTACTTTTCCTGAGGTTCAGTTAAGTGATCATATCTCATATCCCAACTTTCATTATTTGATGGTAATGCAGTTCTTCTCTTAGAACCATTTGCTGATAAAAAATTGCACTAACAATTCTCTAACAATGTTCCAAATATTAATGAGGTTTCATACACTAATAGTTTGTTAAAAATCAATGCCCACGTCCGTCACTATCATCAGGATTTGGTCACATTGTGATGATCGGGAACAGAACTGGTTTTTGAAATGTCAGTCTTTAATGAATTTACGTGGCTCGTAGCCCGAGAAAATTTTATCGTCGTCAGTCGCCGTGGAAGCTTCGGATCAGGCTAACTTTCCTCCCTGAATCTTATGCCAAACAGATTGTGTGCATGGATTAATAAATGTTCAGTACAGGCTGATACTACTTTGGTTCCACCCGCGTATTTGTTGCTCTCGTGGCCGTCGATTAGTTACGCTTTTCTCTTCCTGTGTGTATCGTTTTACCCTGCAGATCAAGGATTACAAAGAAGGTATATATTATGTATAACACTTCCATCACATCACATTCTTCAGATTTTATCACATATTGATTATAATAATTTTCTACGCTCATTTCAGTTGAAGCAGAACATCTTCAGGTTCTATACAGAACGCTAAAAGTAAGAAATAGATTATTGTCATCATCATTTAGTGCGTAAGTGTTGCAGCAAGGTGACTCTCATGTATGTGTTATTGCTTAAAATTGTACTTAAAAATTTATTTGAATAAATTTGTTTAATACATTCATTTTTTTCTGTAAATAACCTGAACGCGGAAGATGTTGCTGTGGAATTATTATGATCGTCGTGTCATACCAACTAAAGAACTTGTGTGTAATGGAAGTTTTATACATTATGTATACCCCAGTAACAGCATTCTGGAATATAACGATAATTAATCTTGTGAAGTTCGTTTGTCACGCCATGATCCAGTTTCTTTGCGCTGTAAGTAAATACTTCGGGGTAAGGATGGGGACAAAGTGCACATGTGGTATGGTCTAACAATACTCACAAGGGGGCTCTCCGCGTTCTTCGCAACCGGAGCAGTCCTTGCGCCACCTTTCCAGATGGCTTCTGCGCTGGTCCCGATATTCATCAGTGTCTCTCCACATCCGACAAAAATGGTTAATAAAGACACTGAGTTAGATAGCGAGAGAGTTGGTTTTCATTTTTCCATGTTTTTTATATTAAGGAATCCTGATCTTCCTTTCATTTTCTTTACTTTCAACAAATGTTTGTATGGTTTTCTGAACAAAGTTTCTGGTTTCTTTTTAATTTTCTCGTCTGTGGGCTGATTGCTTCTGTGGTGGAATGAGTTTTACTTTCTCAGAGCCTCTTGGTGAGGGGGGATAGGAAGGGACTGTTAGTCTTCAAATCTCTTCCAAGTTCTCATCACACATCCCATCTCTGTGAGTGGTCTTACGTTGTTCAGAATTGACATTTCATATGTGTTTGTCCGTTCGCCCAAAGACTCATTCTTTATGTCAATTGCTTACGCAGGTACGTGGTTGCTGGTGCGACCCAATCCGTAAAACATTTCTCGGACAAGTCGCTGCAACCAGGCGTTAGTAACTGTATGTTACAGTTTCCCTTGTGCGCGCTCTCCACATCATCTGTGCCTTCCAGAGTAACGACGCTCAAGCTCTCTGTGCTTTGTAGCTGGAGAACAAGTGTGGAATTAGTGGGATTTGAGGTTCTCACGTCGATGAGTACAAAGATGGCGGCCGTCTTCTGCGGCGTGGCAGAAATTGAGCGATATTTCAGATATAATATTTTATTGTCAGGGTGAGAGAGATCTCTTCAGTCGTAATATTCTGTGAACGGTCTGAAAGTCACTGGTGATTCAAGTCAGTTACCGCTCTAACTTTGCATAAAGTCTCTCTCAGACTTCCGCTCCTGCATTGCGCAGAATTGGAAGGCTGTGGGTTCGTAGCAGTCGGTGGTCTCATAAGTGCGTCTGCGTACCGGATGGGCTGATGGTAAAACAGAGCTTAGGAGCTGAAAAATACAATAGAGGACAGTGTTGAAGGGTTTCTATAAAGTGTTGTGGACCCCACCCAGGCTGCTCTGCATCACCGCGTGTTGCACTGATGTGTAGCGTTTCTCCAAAGCTAGCAGAGCCCTTCGAAACTGTTCCAACTCCACGCAGTTTCGTATTTGGACTCGGTATTCGAATAAATATTATTTAAGTCGTGGTTCTGTTTGATTGCTAGAAAACTGATCTTTCCATTAGAGAAGAATAGAAGTGTACATGTACTGTAACTATGTAAAATGAATTCAGTGGGCTTTCATGAAAAATACTTGTGGTAGCGATAAGTATTTCGAATGATTGGTAATATATTATACATACATC